GGTTTTGCCTTCTGGGCTTGGAAGGTGTCGCTTGTTTCGGAGGTTTGGGTTTTATTTTATAGGGGTCACAAACAACAAAGAGGAGCAAGCCCTGAACACCATTTGGAGCCCCTTTTCCCTCAGCTCATGGCAAAGCAGGCCGGATGTCCAAATATGGAGCGATTTGGAGTGGCCACAAGAAAAAAACAACGAAACACCCCTTAACTCGTTGTTTCCCCATTCTGTCCAACCAACCTTCTTTTCAATCACCAGCCGTTTTCCGTGGGTTTCCGGAGGTTTTTTGGAAATTAACATCCTTTGGGCGTGTGGCGTTTTTCCCCGCCTAACCCGGAGCCCCCCGCAGACCCCCCCCCACAAAACAAAAAACCATCAAAAGGAAAGCAAAAACAGTACCCCCCCCCCACAACAATCACAACAACCTCACCTCAACAACCACAACAACCTCAACAACCACAACAACCACAACAAAATCAACAACCACAAGAAAATCAACAACAAAAGCCCCCCCCCCTTTTCCGGGCGCCCCGCCAGGCCGCGGTGGGGCCGAAGGACCACGTCCTGGTGCCCGGGGCCTCGGGCGGCGTGGGCTCCGCGGTGGTTCAGCTGGCGAAGCGCCGCGGCGCCCGAGTCACCGCGCTCTGCGGCCGCGCCAAGCTGGCGCAGCTGGACCCGGGGGGGCGGGGGGCGGGGGGAGAAAGTAGTTGGAGGATCCGGGGGGGGAAAATGGTATGAAATTCATGGGTCGGGGTGTTTGGACCCGACCCGGGAAAAATGGTGGGAAAGCCACTCAAAAGTAGTTGGAGGACTCCAAAAAATCCGGGAAATGCATGTTTTCCCTGGTTTGGTGGCGGAATGTGGCGGAAAAACGGCGGGGGTGGGGGGGGGTTGGATCTGACAAATCCCGGACAACATGGCGGGAAGAATCATTGTTTCCCTGTTTTGGTGGCGGAAAAATCCGGAAAAAGTGGCGGGACATTCCATGTTTCCACTTTTTTTGTTGGTGGGGAAAACCACTAGAGAATTGCGGGAGATGCCCTTTTCCCAGTTTTGGAACCTCCAAGAGTGGTCGTTATTGTGGAACCACCAGTGAATTGCTGGCTGAAAAGTATTTGGAGGTTCAACCCGTGGTTGATCTGACCCTGGCTTTGAAAGGAAACCAACCACTTGGAGGAATAGGTCGTATGTTTCCCAACCCCGGCAAAACCTTTAAATGTATTGAGCCCATTTTGAGAATCAAATTGTTTGGAAAACAATTTCCCTTTAAAACTGCCATCTGATCATCGCTTCTCCGAGCAGAAAAATGGGGGTTGATCAAAGGGTCCTTTACATGGGATGACCATTGGGTGTGGTTTTATTGGCTGAACCATTTTCCCTCTTTTCAAGAATTCTGGAAGTGGACACAGGGGGTCCCTCAAAAGGAACAGAGTTTCCAAACCCTTCCGATCGTCGGCTTCCATGATTGTTGGAGGGAGGATGCTTGGGAATGTCTCAAAAATAATTGGAGGCTAAACTGGCAAATCCGTGGTTTCCTTCCATTGGCATTTGCTGAAGAATACAAAATTAGAAGTTGAATGAATATTTGTTGATGTTAAGCCTGGAAGTATCACTGAAAAACTTAAGAAACGCTGGGGGTAACGAAGCTGTCCGTTCTTGCTGGTGGGTTTGTGCCTATTTGTTACTTCCCGAATTCGCAAAAAGGTTCCATGGGAGGGTGTCACTTTACTGGGTGTGTCAAACCCCCTGCTTGATTTTACGTTAACCTTATTGGAGGGAAACCAGCCGTGGAGGGGCCCCTCAAGACAAACATCAGACCCGCCAAAAAAGAGGTTTCAAGAGAAAAGGCAGCATTTTCAGCTCCGACAACTTAAAAAGCTTGCTCAACGCATCTGCAGCCCTCCCTCCAGGAAGCCAGCCTTGGCGCGGACCAGGTGCTGGCCGGCCGGCACGGAGACCCGGACTGGAAAGCCACCATTGCTGCGCTCAAGGGCACGCGCCTGGGATGCGGATGCTCCCCGGGCGGGGCGGATGGGCGAGAAATGGATCCCCAAAAGACGGGGCACGGGCTGCAAAAGCGCCTTCAACATCATAGCCAACGTGCTCAAAACCCGGGTGGATGAAGGTTAGTATGGGGCAGTCCAGCTGTTTGAATGACCTGCTCCTTCAACAAGTAGTTGTTTGATGAGAAGTAGTAGAAGATTGGATGGCGCACATATTTCTAAGTTTTGCGCCTTCACCATCATATGTCGTTTTAAACAGAAGAAGTCGGCCCAAAATACGAGCTTGCTGCAACACGTTCGAGCGTGCTTTGGGGAGAAACACCGAGTCAACGACATGGTGTTCAAATTAAAAGTGGCGCCCTACCGGGTTATTTGTCTCCTGATTGATTAATAGGGGGGCGCCTTCTCCAAGTGTAATGAACCCCACAAAATCCAGGGACAACATATCAACAAGTAAACTTGACAACTTGTTGGTGGTTTAGATTTGGGATTGAATCCCTGATGCTTGTAGTAGGCTTGCGCAATTAAGCTTGGCAACTTCTTGGGGAATATGATTTTGTTTCCCACCAACTAGGCTCTTTCTGGGAGTAATTTGTTGAGTGAAACTTTTGCAGCTGTTGCTTACTCTACCACCAGGCTGCCCCCTTGCCATTTTAGGAAATGAACCCCATTGTAGGAAACAAACATGGCATGACTTTCCTTTGGGTTTCCCTTTAAGCCAACACCAAGAAGGCTTTCCTCACTGCTCCCCTCCAAAAAGCATCACCTTATAAATCGTGTTGTGTTCCCTTGGTTTGCCATTCTATTGGTTGTTGTACTACACCCTTGAAAAATGACCCACAATGGTTCGACATAGCACGGTTTTATCCGGAATAAGTCGTGTTGTTCCCTTGGTTTGGCACGTCTTACCCACCTTATAAGTAGTGGTTTGCCACGTCTTACCCTTACCCCAAAACAACCTTGGGCCGAGTTCCCAGGGTCAGCGTGGTGGTGGACAACGTGGGCGGCCTCGCCTTCGGGGATGTCGTGGACTGCCTGAAAATCGGCGGGCGCTACGTCACCAGCGGCGCCATCGGCGGACCGCTGGTGGAGCTGGATCTCAGGACGGCCGAGAACGGGTGCGGTTCGCTTTGGGAACTTTTCAGAAGGGTTGGACATCCAGCGGTGAATGATGTCCAGCCCAGGCTTCTCAAAGAAATTCACTCGGCACGGGCGCCTTTGGGGGGTTCTCCCTTTTTGGCGTGCGTTTAAACAACCAACCAAGAAGCCGGAACAGAAATCGGAGCCACACTCATTTCTTAGGTGCATTTTGCCAAGGGATGTTAGGACTTTAACTTTTTGCCAACAAATGGGTCGGATCTTCAGACTCTCACTTTTTGGGAAATAAAGGTGTTTTCCTTTCCACTAAACCCCCAAAAAGTTAAACTTGTTGCAGGGGGGTCAACAGCAGCCAAGTGTTTGTTGTTCTAAAGGAAACCAAAAGGAATACCAAAGCCATCTTCGTTTTGTCCCCTGACAAAAGACACCGTATGGAAACTTGCTGGGACTGCCAAGATGTGTGTGGTTCCTGTTGAGGAAGTACCTTTTGCTTGGTCATAAACGGGGAAAAGGAAACACCCAAGGCAACACCAAAAAGCACACCTTTTGTTTGGTCAACTTAATGGTGCTCAGCAGGGAATGAGACATGGAATGACTGAAAAACCATCCAACTGGTGGTTCCTTGGGGCCACCTGGGTTCATTCCCGAATCATTCCCTTCTCGCAACAGGGCGCCCAAGAAAACACGGGGAAACAACAAAACGCACACCCCGGGAACCCACAGGAAACGCGGGGAAAAACCGGTCGATGCGGAGCTCGGAGCGAGCGAGGACGTTGTACCTGAGGGACCTGCGCTTGATCGGCTCCACCGCGTGGGAGGAGCCCGTGTTCCCCAACCTCGTAGCTCGGAAGCTGGGTGCTTTACTGGGTTTACAACCAGGAAACGAACCTGGGGTCCAACATGTGTTTTCCCCTAGCTTTAAGACCTGGGTGCCCTTTTGAGGTTACTTTGGGACAGAAGTAGATGGTGTATAGCTAGGGTTTGTTCCCTTGTCAGTGGTTTAGCTAGAATTTGGGCAACAACACGTGTGTTTCCCCTAGCTTTAAAATTTGGGGACACCACTGGTTTAGATTTATGCCATTTAGCAGGGCCGAAAGGTCACCTGTGTCTGGGTCTCCCCTTTGGGAGTGAAGAAGCCGAAAGAGAACCAACCACGTGGATGGGGATAGGTTGGTTTTAACGCCGAAGGGAAATCAACCTGGAGGGGTCCAAGGTTGGCTTTAAAAGGAATCTCGGAAGCCGCTGTGGTCCGTCCGATCTTTTTTGAGCGAAAGGTCCCTGTTTTGGGTGGAATCCGGGAAATGGATAGCTACGTTCTGGGCGGTGGGTAGCTGACCCCATCTCGGGTTGAAAGTTCCCTATAAAGCATTAGGGAACCTCCCTGGACGGACCCCCCCCCCTTGGGACTCCAAGCCACAAGGAAACCCGAACAATCTATGTTGGGGGTAACCTGAAAGAAAAATACGAGCCACCCGTTCAATTTTGGGATCTTTCTCTATACCTGGGGGGAACGTGGATTTGTTCTGGGCAGCAACCTTTTTTTGGTTCCTGTGTTCTTTTTTCGGAGCTTTACCGTGTCTCCAATCATGGAAGTGCGGAGGTTCTGGAAGACTACTATCTTGAAGGCCTCTTATCTTCAAGGATTGATCGAAAGAGACTAGACTGTAGTGGGGCCCGTTCTTGTTTGAACCTCCCAAAGTGGTATTGTTGCTGAAACCCACCAGTAAGCTGCAACTTTCTGCGGGGAGAATCCAATGACCCCTGCTTGAACCTTTGGGAATGATGGGCGCGGCAAGGCGTCAACAGCTTTTGGCACGTTGAGCTATTCAGAAGGGTTGGACATCCAGCGGACCAACGAAGCCCGGGAAATGATGTCCAGCCCTTTGGGGGTTTTCCTTTTGGCTTCCCTGTAAAACCAGCCAAAGATCCCAAACAGAAATTGGAGCCACTGCCACTTCTTTGGTGCATTTTGCTTGGATGTTAGGACTTTAACTTTTTGCCAACTCATGGGTTTTCCGTATTAAACCACTGAAAGTTATTCACTGTTCGCAGGGGAGCAGAAAGCAACCAATATTTGTTCCACAAATAGCTGCGGCCGCCTTCATAATTCTTGAACCATGGTTCTGGGTCGACCATTTTAATACCGGGTTTTGATTATGACTCATTTGTTCGGCGGGAGAAAAAGGAAAAAACAAACGACTCGAGCCATCTTCAGGTACGCTACGTGGAGAGCAACGAGATCAAGCCGGTGGTTGCCAAGACCTACCCCCTGGGCCAGATCGTGGAGGCCCAGACGGAGTTCCTCAAGAAAACGCACGTAGGAAAGTTCGTCCTCATCCCCTAGTGGCAACCTGGGATTCAAAAAGAAGAATCCTGGCAACCAGTATCATAAAGCCATGCTTGGGTAAGACTACACGCACCGTGGCTTACCTGACTTGCGACCGATTCTTGACTCGAATCACTCAACAAACATCCGGTCGGGTCAATTGATGCAACCGTTGCTTTCCAGATGTAACCATCGCTCGTTTGATTGGATCCCAAGTTGCCATTTCCTTTAATGGGGATTGGACCTTAGGGACAGCTCAGTGAGCGTGCCAGCGAGGCACGAGTGAACACTGAGAGTGTATTGCTTAAGGGACTAGAGCGGTGAGCGGCGACTTGCGAATCCAGTTTTCTTGCTCGTGCTCACTAGGGAATGAGAAATGGAATGACCCTGGGGATTCCCTTGAAGGAAACCACCAGTTGGATGGTTTGTAGGGATTATTCCCTCATTCCCTTCTGAGCACCAGCAAGTTTTTCGTAGCGCAAGTCCACCATCCTTTCGCCTCGATTTGATGCCTTCGAAGAAAAACGCACTGAAGGTTCCATATGATCCACGGTTCTTTTTGTGGGTACCCGGCTGGATCGCTGTGGGCCTTTGACCCTAACGGGCTGCGAACCAAACTTCTGTCGATTTCTCGAGTCGCTGCGCGTCCAGACCTCGATCTCAAGCTGAGAGACATGGCAGGCCAACCACACCATCACCGCGAAAACCCAAACCAGCCACCAGCCGCCAAACCTTTCAACAAAAAGGAGTTGAAGCTTAATATATGGTGGCTTCATCCCCATAATCCTGCGGCAACCTTTCAGGATTTCGGTTCCTTTGGGGGTTTCCAACCGAAAGTCTGGGAAATCGGGGTGGAATTCTGACGCTCCGGATTTTTCAGCGTCCCGAACAAAGTCGAACCAACTCCCAAGCAGCCAAAAGCAACCACTTGAAAACCTCACCCTGTTTGCTTGGAGGGCGGAAACCCGGAACACTGGCGGAAAAGGGCAGAGAGCCTTCAGCTTTTTTTTCTCCATGAGCCCGCGAGATGCGCCTCGGACACCGAAAAAAAACAATCGCCGAGGGTGTCACGCAGCCCCGGATCCCTCCCGAGCCCTGCCAAGGCAGAAGGTCGCTTTTGCACGGCGCTGAAGCCAACACCCAAAGAAGTTTTGCATCCCTGTCAAAAAAAAAAAAAAACGGATCCAGGTGGGGCATCTTTTGGTGAGGCCGAAAGGAGCCAAGAAGAGAACTCAGCTTATGGCCTTCCCCTCATTCCCCACTTGCTTTTTATCCAAATCAGCCTGGGAGTCAGGTAGGAAAACGGAGTTGTAATGGCTGATAATGGCTGGTTGTTGAGCCACACCCGTTACAGGGTTGCCAACACAGACGGCAAGTTTAGTTAGTCACATGTTTAGTTGGTTTGGTGAGTTTTAAATCCTACGCCGACCTGCCCAGATTCTCTTGGGGTTCTCCAAATCACCCTCCAAATGGGACCTGTCAAGGCGCTGAACAAAAAATATGGGCTGTTCAAAGGGTTGGTGACCACGCGTACAAACCTATCGTGGCTTTCTTTCGCCACATATAACCAGAACATCGGGTTTCCGCAGGTTCTTTTTTTTTTTCTTTCTGGTGAACAGGTGCTTTTTGGTTTTGTTCTCCCCCTTTTTTTCCTTCTTTTTTGTTCTGGTGGTTTTTTGCAGGATGGCTCGGTTTGGTCTTGCAGGTTGAAGTTCCTTCATTTCCGGATACGACCCAACGTTCAAGGCATGCCTCGAAATGGCCCCCCGTCCGGTTCAACACTCCAGAGATTCGGATCCGATCGAAGCGGGGCTTCTGTCGGCTCTCAACGTCTGAGACATGTGACCAACCACTGGTAGATTTTGGCAGACCAAGTTGGGATTCCACACAGAACACGTAGCAAATCTTGCCAAGAGGATTTGTTTCGCATCCGACAATATACATTGCAAAACAAGTCAAGAGGATTCCCCTCTTCTTTTGGAGGCCGGAGGGGGGAAAAGGGAGGACCAGCTCCAGCCTGGCAAACGTTACCAAGAGCCTTTGTCTCCAAACGTTACCGAGAGGGCAAATAGGGACGTAACATTCAAGAGGCTTCAACTGCACTTCTGAAAGATATCTTTACACGGTGACAATCCAAGAGGATTCAACTCCACTTCTGGGGGATATCTTTGGTCCTGGATTCAACTCTGTCCAATTTTTGGACAACCCCTCTGGGGTAGAGGAATCCGCGATTCTGTCAATCAAATTGAGCCCACCTACTTTGGATCCCAGTTCCTTCGATCGTCCCGATCCAACTTCTGGTTTCCAGGATGCCATTCCCCATTCCCAAAACCCCTTTCTGGATCCTCTCGAACCAGCTTCGAGAAACCTAGGTCTCAGGAGTCCACATAGCCCCAAGCCCCAAGAACCGGGGGAAAGAACACGAGGTCCATGGACTGCCCCCATCTGCTGACGCTGCCTTTGCCGGAGCTGAACTTCCGCAACGCCACCAAGGTGTGGGGCAGTCCGGTCGTCGTGGGACGGACAAATGGAGGAGGATACCTTAGGACCATTGAAGAGACCTGCGTCTCATCCAAAACAAATTGTCCTAAGGGGTTGAACCCTGTAAGAAGACCTTTGGGGAAACGAAAAGGAAAGCAAAGAGGAGGGGGCCTCAGATTCGTTCAGCCGTGACTCCGCAGTTTCGGGTTTTTCCTGGAGATCAAACGGCAACTAAAAATGGATACCCGAAGCCATCGTTTCCTTGGCGCAAAGGGGGTTCGTCTTGGCATGGCAGCGGCGCTTGATTTGGGTGTCTCTTCACAGCGTCAAAAAGGAGGTAAATTTTCAGGTGGGGGGGAGGGGAAGGTTGAAGGATTTTGCAGGTATGGAGGCGCAGGTACGCAACCGATATAAGCTTGTCACCTGCATACCTTTGGAACCCCGTGAAACACCTGTGCAGTCCATACCTCCAAAACCCTCTGTCTTCATTTGAGTTTCTCTGCTTGGGCCACAAGGGAAGCCAAAGACGCCCCTTCAGTCGCCAAAGCGTATTGCGAGACGATTCCCTTGGGCAGATCGAAGGAACTTGTCCCTTGGTGTGACCCGGATGCAAGCCATGCAGCACGTCCAAAGATCGTGTCAAACGAACTTGGGGCCAACCCATCTAACATCGAGGAACCTCCTTTTGTTTTCGTTTTGGGGCCTTCCTTTCAGACCTCCGCGCCGATGCCTCCGAGCCCATCCCGACCCCTCCCACCGGCCGGCGCGGGCGGCGAGGATCTGCAGTTTCAGCTGGAGACCTCGCGGCTGGCGCTGGACGCCTCCGACGCCCTGCAGACCGTCATGGCCTTCGCAGGCGCCAGCGCGGGGCTTTAGCTTTAGCGCGTGGGGTGGGTTGGAGGTGGGGAGCCGGTGGTAACATGGCATGGACTTTCCAAAAAAGCTCGGTTTTGGGAGCGTCCAAAGATTCTCGGTGTGTGGTTCTGTTTTTAGAGATCATGTTTGGAATGGCTTTCTAATAAACACCTATGGGATGAAACTGTGCCCCGGGTTGGCAGAGGTCGAGGTCGAGGTGAGGGGGTTACGGCCTAGTTATATACAAAATCTATATCCGTATCTATGTCTACAGCTACATCTATATCTATATGTGCAAGTGGCATCGCTTAGGCGGTCTATCTTAGAAATGACTCTTTTTCAATCAGAAGATTGCAGGGTCAAACGTATCCATCTCACCTGCTTGCGAGTTTCCTTACCCTGTCATGCTTTCGGGCATAGCCTCATCGGGGAACCTCCAACACAAAAGCTGACACCTTCCATTTCGGACACGTCGCACCCTTCCTCCCATGAGACATGAATTCCAGAGGCGCAAACATGCAGTTGGTGCTCCTGACCAACAAGCTGGGGGGCATGTGCTGGCCCTTTACCCGCAGCTACGCCGCCCGGCTGCACACTGCAAAATCCGCAGCAGGAACCGTGCAAAGGCGTCCTTGTTTAAGCCCAACAGAAGTTCTGTCCCGCGAACTAGTAGACCGTTTGGGCAGCCTTCAAGGTAGACTCTGTGACTTTCTGAACGGTTGGTTTTGTTTTGTTTGGGGTCAAGAGGTTCTAGGCCGCCTTTGTTGATTTTTGGGTAGAGAAGGTCTGTTTGTCCATTCTCCAGACCTTCGAAGATTGTTTGGAGGGAAAGCCGGGCTGGACCCGTTTGTTTGTAAGGGGCCCGACACATCAGACGAAGAAAGTCCCCCGGGTTCGCAAGGAGAATCTTCCTCTACGGGATTCGAATCCATTCTTCAAGCCGGACTGGTTTTTTCCATTATTTTCAACTTGGACCTTCAGCAAAATTTCGGCCCTTGCCATGATTTTCATGAGATGAATCGGGACCCAGAGAAGCCACCGGCTTGGAAGGACCAAAAAGCTGTAGCAACGACCCCCAGGAGTTAGACAGGAATGTGTGTGTTTTTTTCCATGCCGGGCAGTGATATTTGATGTAAACCAGCCGTAAACCAAGCTTAAACCAACCCTAGAAACCAGCCCTAATCCATTTCCTAAACCAACCCTAAGCCCACCTGAACCTATCCTAAACCCGCCTAAAAAGGCCAACCCCATAAACCCACCCCAAGCGACGCTTGGGCCTCTTCAAGCCTTTGTAAACGTTGGTACCCACAGTCCGGGCGTGTCTGTCGATGGTACCCGTAGCTTGAACCCGACGGGTCCGAAGGGACACGCCCGAAAGAGGCGCATGGATAGGTTCCGTGCCTTCAGGTGGGAAAACAAAGGGAAGCCAGCAATTGTTGAATTGTTGGGGGTTCCCTATTTGGAGACAAACCCATAAAGCGTCCGAAGGACGTGTTTGTGTTTTGTTTCTGCTTTGGTGTCCTTGCTTGGTTGAAACTGCGCGGCTTCACTGCGTGCCACTGCCATGGGCCTTGTCTTCCATTTGCTGAAGAATATGCTTTATTCTCCCTGTTGTTTGAACGGGAATCTGTCACCACTGGACATATTTTCTCATTTTTTCCTAGGGACGTATCCGCAAACGGAGGATTTACTGAGTGGTGGGTCCCTTTTGGACTCAGGACAGCTTCCACTTCATCTGCCAGCAGATCCGGAGATCGATCCGTCGCCGGGCGTTATCTGTAGGGAATGACAAGGAGTCCGGGTGTTGAAATGGAATGAACCGGAAGGGGATTCCCGAATAAAGGACACCCCCAGTTGGATTGTGTTTTTTCGGGTCATTCCAATTCTTTCCCTGCTGCCTGAACACCAACAAGCTGAGTTTGGAGCATTTCCAAAGTTTTCCGGATGTCCGGCGGCGAAGTTTGATCCTGAAAATCCTGAGGGGCTCCGGGTTGGTCGGGCCCAATGTTTTCTTGGCCTCGGGAGCTGGGCCCAGAACCGGATTTCGGGTGGCAAGGAACGAGTGGGACCAAATCATTTGCGTCTCCGAGATGGTTTGGACAACTTTCGCTGTGGCTGGGCGAGGTCTGGTGAAACATGTCCCGATTTCGGAGGTAAGGAGGGTCCGGTGCCTAGTCTTGTTTGCAAGCGGCCCCCAGCTGAAGCCGGCGCAATAGACATGCAGGTGTTCTCCCGAAATTTGGGCTGGGAAAATAGAATTAATCTAAATAAATTCCCTCAACAACAAACACCCCCACTTCTTTAAGGGTTTGGCCGCGCTTGCAGCAGAATATCCAGGTGTTCAGCGAAAAACCCCCCTCTCCCCCGGCCCCCGGCCCAGTTTTGTGGTGACCAAAAGTATTCCTCCCTTCTTGGTGGTCCCTTATGAACCCACCAAGGATCCCGAAACCTCACCCCCCCCCAGGTCCCCCCCGTCCCCCCCCCCCGGTGATCGATCCCAGGGGAGCTGGCCGCGCGGCTTCCGCAGCGCCTCCCGATCGATGAGCTCCACGGCGCCGTGGAGCGCCTCGGCCCTGGGCGGCGAGGAGTTCGCGGCCGCGGCGCGGCGGGGCGGATCCAAGAAAGCGTCCGTGGGCCGAAAATCCCCCCAGTGCGACGCACATGTGTGATTCTTACCTCTTAAAAACACAACTTTTCAACTTTTTGGGTAACATGGGCTATATGTCTTTTGGGCTGAGGCGCGAGTTTTTTTTTTTTTTTTTTTTTTTTTTTTTTTTTTTCCGGTGGTCATTGTTTTCCCGCGTGGCGGACATCCTCGAATCCTTATGGTTTCCGCCATGGTCATTCCAGGTTCATCGGACCTTTTCATCAACCCCCCCCAATGTTCCTCAGAGAAGCGGTGATCAGATGGCAGGTTTGCAAAAGAGTGCCATGAGATCAGAAGAAGAAAAAAAACAGATGCCACTTATTGCACTCTTGGGGAGAAAAGTAGATCATGTTTGGGGAGGAGAAAGAGACACTGTGGCATCAGATCATGTCTGGGGAGAAAAGTAGGGCTGATTTGCGTGACAAGTTAAGCAACACAACAAACACATGTTAGCACTCTGCCAACTGCGCGTCATATGAAGTGTACGCTCGATTCCTGCATGTCATTTGTCCCCTACGCGTGGTGGTTTGGATTGGTTGGGGTTGGACATGGGAGAGACTCAGAAATCGGGGGGGGGGGTTGCACAAGGGGCACATCTGCAACCGGGATCACGGCGCCTGAAGAAGTGAACTGGTTTCCGGATGCAAATCCAAACCGAAAGTGGCAGAATGAGGCAAACGGCTACGAATTTCAGAGTTGAACCCACCTCAAAAGTGGTTGGTGGACATAAATCCCCCACCTGACTGATGTCCAGCTCCGGTCGGGACCCCCGCAAAAATTTGGGCCATTTGTGGACACCTTGATTGTCCCGAATCTTCAGACCAAAGCATTGGCACGTTCCCCGAATTGGTCAGAGGGTAGATGGTATTCTTATTTCTAGAGGGTGGCTTTTTGGCTCATCGCCATGAAGAAAAGGCAGAGATTCGGGGATCTGGAGAATGGTCAGCCTCACATGGATCAGCCCACGTAATGACGGCGGTCTTTTTTGTTTCAGGTACCCTTCCAGATTTTGTGGTCGGTTGCTTTGGATGGTGTTTACCTATAGGTGCTATTTGTCCATTTGGCCCCTTCTGTCTCATGGAAATCCGGGGGCTCGGCAACCCACAAAGCCCTGGCAGGTCTTTGGCTGGTTTTGATGTGGGGAACACGTGGTTGTTTCGCCGGTTTTGTTTGTTCGTTGGATTTGGTCTCTGGAAAACCGCATCAAAACCAAAAAGGACCCCCAAACAAACCTCGCCGCCCTTTGCGGTCCTTGTTGTCTTTTGTTAGTTGGCTTGGATCTTGGGACCCCCCTTTGTGGCTTCTTTCGGGTGGTTTGGTTTCCCGCGCCCCTCGTTTCAGCCGGACGCAGCCCGCAGCCGGCAGCCGAGGAACTCGATGCATCTCGGGCTCGGCATCCTGCGGTCCTTGCAGTCCACCGCCTGCACGCCCGCGTGCCTTGCAAATTGAACAAATCGGAGCTCGGAGTCGGAGTTCGGTTTGGTCTCCGGAAACATCGCGGGCCCCGGCACTTTAGAAGAGCCCTTTATGTGTTGTTTTTCTTCGGGGAGGGGGGGTGGAGTGGTACCATGTTCTTGTGGGGCATTTTTGTGTTTGGTACTGCTTGATGCGGCATTTTTTGGAGGACACCATTTTGTCTTTTTTCACCCGGTGTGGGGCCGGGTGTTGTCGTGTTGTTTTTTCCTCTTGGGGGGATTTTTCAGTTGACACGTCTAAAACAGGCCACTTTGTTTGGGCGGAGGCAAGTCCCATGTTTCTCTCGGTTTGAAACCATCACCTTTTCGGCAGAAATCCTGGTCTCTCGGATCTCAGCTTCTCTCGGGGCCTCTCGAAGATCGGCATAAGGACTCCCAGCGGTTCTTCGCAGGGTGTGCTTCGGCGCACGCAAATTTTCTCCGATGAAAATGGTTTCATGGGAGAAAAATGGGGGGGAAGGGGGGGGGCGGGTTCCTTGGTTACCTCAAAACCGGGGGAGAATGGAATCACTGGGAATGTAAAAAAAATCAAAGGGCGGACATGCGCCTTTTGGCTGGACCTCTCCACGCACCTTCCGCCTTGGTGTTGGTATGTTTTGCTGCTCAGTGAGCTGCTGGGATTTTGGGGAAGCGGAAGGGAATTGAACAAGTTGGATGGCAACCTTCGATTCGGATCGTTCCACCAAAAGATGCCGGCGTTTCTAACATCGAAATCCCGTTCTGAATGTAACCAAAATCCCATGATTCAGCCAGAATCTTGGCTTCCCTTTTCCAGGGTTTCCATCATTTCAATTCCAAAAACGCCCAGAAACCCGCGAAGCTTCTGCTCCCTTCGCTCCCGCCTCGATTCGAATCGACTCGAGGGAATCGGCGGCGCATCGAGCGAAGCGAGGCCCGGCGGGGACGGCTGCGGGGGACTCGGCAGCTGCCTCCAGCTGTACCTCCGCATGGCCCGGGCCTGCGCCGCGCCTCGGCGCTTTGTGTTTTGACGGTTTTTGGGCGGCCAGTGGCGGATGGGGTCTGGGGTGTGTGGTTGGCGCGTGGGTTTGGGAGAGGCGGTGGAGCTCCTCTTTTTTTTGGGGGGTCGGGGGGGGGGGGGGGTTGGGGGGTTGGGGCAAGGACCTCCCTTTTGACTGCCATTTTGAAGGGACACCAAAAAGAGACCGAAGCCATTTTTGGGGGCTTCCCCCGAATTCTTTGGGGCCAAACCTTATTTGGATGATTGGGTAGGGAAGGGAAACCAGAAGCAAACCCGAATCCATTTGGGGTAGGATGCGGGGGGTGCCAGTGATGCTGGCTGGTGAAGCCAGTGATGCTGGCTGGTGATGCGAGTGTGCGTCCGTTGGTATTGCTTCCAAATCCTCCCCGTAAAACCTTTCATATCAACCAGCGCCTACGGCTTTGGGGGACTTTCGTGCGTGGAAGGTAGTGCCGGAAAGTGAAACTTTTGATGGTAGTCCTGGGATGCCATCATTATGGTGAGGCGTGATCCAGACAAGCTGCCGGACAATGATGTGCAAGTGCGAATCCCGAGCCCCAAATCCCGAATCTCAAATCCCGAATCCCGGATCCCGAATTTGGCCTAGTGATTCGCGAATCCCGCTTTTTGATTTGGACCCCGAACTCCGAAAGGTGCGCCTAAGCCTTTTTTCTTCTTTTCTTTGGGTTTGGGCGGCTTTCCGTCCAATGCCTGGTGGTCCTTCAATGGTGTAAATGGTGTGTTTGACTCGAATTAATCAATGGTGTCAAACACCAACCGAATTGAGTGGCAACCCTTTGTTTGAGAAGTGGATTTTGGTTTGCCACTTTCTGCGAGCTTCGGTAATCCCCTGAATGAAGGTAGTCATAGCGAAGGTGCTTGATGTCACAGAGAGAAGCTTGTTCGGAGAGGGCGCCCATCATGGCTTTGTTCTCTTTTTTAGTTGGCCTCCGAAATGTGAAAAGGACACCAACAGGAACCCATGCTTTTTTGTGGAGGCCCGTCTTTGCGGTTGCCACCTTTTGATGTTCTACATCCTTTCTGTGGACCAGAAATTTGGCGTTTGATCTTTCGGTGTTGAGTTTGGATTTGCTAAGTGAAGCTCCCAAAAAGGTGATCTTACCTTTGCCAATCGATTTCTTTTCAGCGAGCTTGGCGCTTGCTCAAACTACTTAGATCCCTGACTTTTTGCGAAGTAGGCTGCTGCCCATTTGAATGGTTTAAGAAGGCAAAGGAGGAAAGACTATTGATACGGGATACAATGGCAAGGAAGCCACAAGGAAACCAGCAGCCTTGGATCCTGGAAAACTGGAGGTGAACATGGGGGCCCTTTCAAAAATATCATGCATCGCTTTGAAAAAGATGTTTGGAGCGCCTCGCCTTTTATGAAAGGTTTCTTTAGACAATGCAGGATGCCTCAAATGGATTTCGGCTTTGCTTCTGGTTTCCCTTCCCTACCCAATCAAATCAGGTTTGGGATTCGGGGAAGCCCCCAAAACTTTCCAGCGAAAAGATCTCCGAGGACATGGCCATGGCCTCCCACACGGCGGCTCAGCTCGGCTCGGCTCGGCAAAGGGTCTCGGTCTCTGAATCGACTCCGAAAGGGAAAGCGAAGAACCGGGAAATGAGTCTGGGGCATTCTTATGGAACTGGGTATGGGTCCATTCTTTGGTCCATTCTGAAAGGGAATTGGGGGGTAGGGGGTTTCGCTTGACGTCGAGCACGTCTCTGAAGCTCCCAAGATGGGACGGAAGATTTGTGTAGCCTTGGGTTCTCTTCGATGTCCGCCCAAAAAAGAGAGGGACATGGAGCCACACTGGAAGGGAAGAGTGAATGATCACTACAAACGCGACTTCTCAAGAGATGGAGGAAAAGAAGCCGGCAGTTTTGTTCCTGGTCTTGAGAGAGCCCGAACTTATTTGTCAAGAAAGGATGAACAAAGCGGCAGATTGGTTTTTGGCTAGATGCAAGGACATGGCCATTGGGAGGGGGAGGGGCCTTTTCCTGCCAGCTTGCCGCATGAAACAGACTGACTCAGGTGGGCAATCTGAATGGGCTCCAAGGAAAAGGCCAAGCTCGGAAACATGGGGCGAAAAAAACAGTGTGTTGGGCAAGTTGGGTTTGTCATTATTATTATTATTTTTTTTAAAAAAAAATGGGCCCCAAGCTGCGGTGTCTTCTTTGGTTTCCCTTGAAGCCTCGAAGAAGTCGGACCCGGGAGCTTGGCATCGGAGGCCCGAGCCGGTCCCCGTTGGGTCGATTCCAGCTGGTGGTTTCACATGGTTTTCCAAACGGATTTGTGTGGATGAAGTCCTGGAAGGTTTTCGGTTGAAACCTGGTGTTGGCATTTTTCCTGATCATATTTCTCATTCCAGGGCTTCTGAATGGCGCGATTCTCTGGCTGTCGCGTTGAGGTGCAGCACCAGCTGGAGACCGCCCTCTTGTGGCGTGCGAAAGCTGGTTCCCCGGGCGCGCTGCCGCAGTTCCCCCCCGGCGCGCGAGGCGATCCGAGCGATGCGGCGAGCGATCCGAGCGATTCGGCCGGTTTTGGGAGGGAACCGGCGAGGGAGTTTGGGGGGGCGACTGAGCATGGCACCCTGAAGAAGGGCGACTGAAAATGGCCACTGTCCAAGGAACTTTGAATGAGAGACCTTGGTTGGGATTCCTTTCAATTTTGAGGTCCAAAGTTCATCGCCAAACGACATGAGCTGGAAAACCGACCATGAGTCCGATTCCTATTTTGCCAGCCCACTCGTCCGAAATCCAATTCCGGTGAGACACTTTCAGTTGCTGGTCACAGGCCAAGGAGCCTGTGAAAAGTGCAGGTAGACTTCTGGCATCTGCCAACTGCTTCGGCTTCCCTTCACATTCGAAGCTGCCGAGACATTTCGACCCACAAAAGCGGAAACAATGCGATGGGACACTTGAAACATTCCTCCTCTTCGAGTGGTTAAAGGAACTCGCGACTTTGGCTACTCTTTGGCTGGCCCGTTGCACCATGTTTTGACCAGGTTTTTTTTTGGGTGTGGTTTTAAGCTACGATCAGAAAAAGGGGGTTTCCCCTGCCAGCCGCCAGCCTTGTGTGTTGTTTTCCTTGGAAAAGCTCAGGGGAGGTGTCCAGCTTGGAGGGCCTCCGGACCAAGACGCTCAGCGGCTCGCCTTCCAGTCGTTCCGATCGACCAGCACCTAACGGTCATTCGAAGCCGAGGGTGACGCTGAATCAAAAGACAACCGAAAGCTTCTCTTTGGTTTTCAGAGAGAAAAAAGCCACACCAACCAAAACATGTGTGACCAAAAATCAGACACACCCATTTGAAGGGCCGGACGTTTTGGCCAGAGCGACGACTTCCCAAAGCGAAGTGCCAACAGGAGAATTCGCTTGGAATCCCGAACGAACAACGGTGCCCGTTCAGCTCAGCTCTTGACCCCAGCATCATTCTCCGGATGTCCGAATTTGGCGCTCGCCGCTTTTTTTCTCGGCGTGAAGCCCAGCTTCATCCCGGGCTCAAAGAATTTGTGCCCCAAATACGGGAAGAGTCAAGGAAGGGTTAGATCGAGGGTTCGCGCTCAACGTGTTGGATGTTGTCTTCGATGCGAGAGTCTCGCGCGGGCAGTGCGCTCTCGCTGTGGCGCCGTGCTCAT